TCTCCTATAAAATAACATTTTCAAATTCTAAAAAAGATGTCCTTACTAGACTTTATCCTCTTATTAGTTAGTGCTATTTCAGTACAACTGAGTAGTATACTGGCCAAACAAATTTATTCAGTTAAAAAATCTTTTCAGTATGTAACAGCTCAAAATATATGTGAAAGCATTTTTTAAAAAAATTATGCATAATCAATATGTAAAGAAAAGTCTCAGCTCATTCACAAGACTAGTAAAAAAAATCTTAGGTCATTAATTTACATTAAAAACTTAACCTGAATTTATGTATGTGTTATCTTTGGCTCCTCTTAAGCTATGCTTCAGAATGGTTTATTAAAAAATTATCACTTTCAGTAAAAGTACACATTAGTTTTCCTTTCTCAAGTATGTGTTTTCCCAACAGTTATTTTTCACTCTCCTCCCCTCTTCCTGACTACCTGCCACCCTGCAATCTGCCACCATACTCAGCATTACCCCCTTCTCCCCTACTCCCTGCCTCCAATACCTGATTGTCTTCAGGCAAAGAAAATATTGTTGGAATTGCAGTTTGTTTCAAATAGCGAATACCCCATCTGATGTCAAGAGAGTCAGGAGTAAAATGGTCACTACACAGGAACTGGTATTTACTTGGAACCCATGAATCTCGTTTCATATTCTTTAACCATTTTTCAAGTCTTTCTTTGTCATGTAGAGGAAACCTGAAATTAAAAAAAGGAAAACTTTGCTATATTTTAACAATAATGCCAGACTCCAGACCTGTATATATAGGTAACCTAAGGGCCACAAAAACAAGACAACCATTCCTACCATATAACAGCATCTTCATGACAACTACTGCCATATCATCTCTGCAGCAAAGAAAGCTAAGATATGAGATGTGTAGCCAAAGCTTTTGTCTTAGAAGACTGGTTTGTAAAACATAACTCAGGGTCCCTTCAAGTAAAACATATATGTTACTACAAAGGATAAAATCTATTCATATTTTCTCTGGATTATGTTTCTTTTTCATTCTGTTGTATAGTCTGTAGAACTAGTGAAGAGTTTTGTTAACTAAAATTTCCTATTCAAATATATTTCATAGTAATATAACAAATCAAACTGTTTCCTGTCTATAAGAAGCATTAAACCTAAGGCTTTCATATTAGTCTTTTTAAAATAAGGAGATGTTAATTCAAAAAATGGTTTAGCTAACATAAAAAGAATACTATATCTTACAAAACTACTAACATTCCATTCTCTTTACTGGAATCAGCCTCAATTCCAACCATCTGTCATCTAGTCCAACATTTCTAGTCTTCTTTAGCCAGTGGATTGGGAACTCTAAAATTCAAGTATTCAAGTTCTGAAAGAAAACTAAACATGTTAAGAGGGCAGACTCATATTTTATAACAGGAAACAAATAAAAAAGACAGAGAAAGGCAAGACAGCTCTTTATACGTGTTGTTCCTGTACGAAATAGCCTGGATATTCAGAGTTGGCTCTAACACACTACAACATGTTTTAGGGTAAAATTTGGACTTGCTGCAGAATTTGACAGAAAACTTTATTCTACTAGTGTAAACAGGTTTGAATTACACTATTAAACAACAGTGATTTATACATCTTTTGAAGATTTTATAGGAACACAGTCCAAGACACATACTAGATAATAGTTTCCTATTTTTAAAAAGGAGTAACATAAAAGGTTCTCATACAAAAAGCAGCTGTTATACATTCCTCCCAATCACAACCATTTATGCTTTGTAGTGTAAGATCTTATAAAAAAAATATTGATAACTTAGTAAGATGCTAGATGAAAAGAGTCTGGGTGCTTGGTCAAAGGAAATAATTTTTAACCCGGATATCGATCCATAGAAAAATCAGATTATCTGCTTTTGGAAGTTTTTTACCATTGATATGATATTCATACACAGTTTGAAAGGCTTTTAACCTTACGTATATCAATAACTTACAAGTATGACAAGCATAATAAGAAAAGGCATTTCGTGGCAAAAAGAATTTTACTTTCAGAGGACTTAGAATAATCACTGGTATAAACTGAGCACTATATTCATTGAATTTCCTAATTAATATAAATTTATTCTGCAGCATGCTACAGTGTAAGAAAATTCTCCAAGTTGAATGCTATTAGGGGACTGAAACTAACTCAATTTTTATTTTGCAGATTACACATGAAATTTTAAAAAGTCAATAAAAAGTTCCATTTTCAGTAAATTCACATTTTGAAGAATAAAAATCTATAATTGACTTTCTCTGGCATTATTATTTTTCCCTCCTTAAAAATAGTAACTATGCAGTCCACAAGACTAAAGAAGTCCTAGTCTGAGGTTATGAGCCCCCCAAATACAAGGCCAAATAAATATGGGAAATATAGTGTTAAGTTCAACATGATTCTTTGCTACAAACCTCCTCAGAGCCAGTGACATTCATATACCAGAGTATGTTTATCCCCCTAAATTATCTCTGCAACCTGCGGAAGGGCTTCAAGGAAGATAATTCTGGAAATATGGCACATAGTGCAAATCATTTGGAGTTATCAGTTTTTTGTTTTTTTTTTTTTTTTCACTAGGTAAGATAATGGAAAGCAGGAGTCATTACTGAACGACAAGCTTTAGGTCTAAAGTCAAAAAAACTTCACAAGGTAGCTAGTGAAACTTCTAAAAAACTTAAAGACACTCACATTAGAGCTAAATTATTTAGAATTCCATGGACAGAGGAGCCTGGTGGGCTACAGTCCATGGGTCGCAGAGAGTCGGACACGATTGAGCGACGAACACTTTCACATAAATAAAGGAAATTATAGAATAGTCTAAACACGTTGATTTTTCNAGAGCTAAATTATTTAGAATTCCATGGACAGAGGAGCCTGGTGGGCTACAGTCCATGGGTCGCAGAGAGTCGGACACGATTGAGCGACGAACACTTTCACATAAATAAAGGAAATTATAGAATAGTCTAAACACGTTGATTTTTCAGAAACACGAAGCATGTTATGAATGCCAAGTGCTCTTTTATGTTTTTAGACGCTACGTGTGAATTCGGTACTATTAACGTGTCCACTTTACAGATGGAAGGCCTTAGGTAGCAGGGTTAAATAATTTACAGGTCGTTCAGCTACAAAGTGATGGAGCCAGGATTTGAACCTAGATCTGGCTTTGGAGCCGTGTCTCTTACTAGTAAGTATACACAGTACTTCTTCCCTATTGTTCCAAATAAAAATGAGCCCTTTTGGGGTTCCACAAAAAATATTTCGTGGCTATAGTTATTTGAAACACAAACAGTAATTTGGAATAAAGTGGTATATTCCCTACTTCTCCAGGGTTTGCTTTCTGCCACTTCAATTTTAGCAATGTTAGGTCTAACCGGTATTAGGGCCCAAACAAATTTTTCGCTTTTACGAAATAAAAGCAATTGTTTCCTCGCTTCGGAAAGGCTTCCTAGGAACGCTCTACGTTGGGAGAGCGGGGAAAACCTGTTAGCCCTTACTTACCTGCTCTCTGTACGAATGAAGAATTATCTAGAGCCCTGAGCAGGTGACAGATTATAATTCCTCCTCTGCCACAAAACTTTCAAGGTAAGTTACCTGATCTTTTCTGAAAAGCCTCAGTTTTCTCAGAAGAAAGTGGAATAACATCTACGCGACCTAACTCACAGGAGGTGTAAGATAACTTGGAGGGCACCTTCCCATTCGGCACGTTTGATGCATCTGAAGTGATTAGTGTTGTTCAATGAAATGAGGTCAGGGGAGGTGGGGAAATGCTCTGAAAACCAGAAGCATCGCTCAAACTTTACCGCTTAAAATGCCCTATTAACACCCCCAACAGACCCCTAAACCTCGCCACACGCCCAGCGTCCTCCCTAGAAATGTCAGAACATTTCCAGATAGACTCAACTCGCGCCTTTGCGTCCTCCTCCTGAGCAGAAATCAAACACTCCCGGAGATCCGAGGACAAATTTACAGAGCAGACAGGAGGGACGCCAAACTCTAACCCCAAATGCCACAGGACTGTGACCCAAAGGCAAGCTGAAGCTTCCGCGTTAGGGGCAACTTACGGGTAAAAACTAAGCTTCCGCTCTTTATTATTTCGTCCCCGGCGGTTCTTACAGCAAATCGCTGCGCAATAGCGGGGCATCGCTGCCGCGTAGCCACAGGAGACCCGAGCCGCCAAGGGGCGCAGGCGGGGCTTCCTCACCGAGGCGGGGCTGCAAGTCCTTGCCCCCCGACGTATCGCGCCTGCGCCAGGCGCGGTGGAATGGGAAGACTCGGCAACTCTGAACTCACTTCCCTTTCCGCCGGCTTCGCCTCAGCCCTATCGGGGGTTGGGGCCGGAAGTGACGCATGGGCTGATCAGCAACAACAGTTTTCCACGTGCGCGTAGGGCGCCAGGGTCAGGTGGGGAGGCGGGAGCCAATAGGAAAGCGTTTCGTGTAGGTCTTCTCCTGAGGTGTAGGCGCCCGCAGCTACCCGCCAGCCAGTGGGGAGCGGGCTGTGCGGGAACGCGGCTGCGAGAGGAGTGTGAGGTCGGCGGACAGGAGGCAGTGGGCGCGTGTCGGCTCACGGAAGCTGCTGAGGCCCGGGTGAAGGCCGAGCCGAGCGGCCGTGTGGAGTCGCTGGTTAGTGTCCCGGTTAGGAGCAGCAGCAGCCGGAGGTTGCGGACGAGAGACGAGGCCGAGGTCTCGGGGAGTGGGGTTAGGCCTCGGTGTCCGCTACGATCGCCGCTAGGGCTTCGGGCTGCCCGGTGTTCTTGAGGAAAAGACTAGGGGAAAGGCAGAAACAGCGTAGTGCGATTTGTCTTGGGGTTGTGCCCCTGGCTTTTTCGGGCGTCGGGCAGCTCCTCTCAAGGCCGGACCCCGGGTGAGACCCCGAGCCCTACAAGCCAACGGCTGCATCTGGTCTGCTAGGGCGAGTGTGGGTGAGGGCTGACGGTTTAGCCCAAGCAGTCACCGGCTCTGGGGAGAGAGACCCACGGGACTGCCCGCTGGGTCCCTCTTAGGAATGAGGAGTCAGTTTAAGGCAGTCAAGCTTCTAGGAAAGTATGGGATATTCACCTTGAAACTGTGAAATGAAGTTTGTTAAACCGGGAAGGTACCTCTCTGCCAGTGTTAGACCCGCCCTTTGGCTAGAGAACGGCCTCAGTACATGCTCGGTTTGTGTTCGTTTAACCAGGAGTTTGTACTTGATCCTTGATACCCGTGACTGTGACTAACCCTGGAAAGAAGTGATCTGTCTGCTAATTACGCTCCAAACGGGCCACAGGAGAGGAAGGCAGGCAGTTTCCACAAGTCAGAGTGTCTTTCGTCAGCCGTGTTATGTCATCTTAGGTTTTTAAGCTCTCCTATATTCAAAAAACAGGATCAACTCTTTTTGAATCGCGAACCATTTAATCTGTAGTCTTGAGAATTTCAAGTTGTATTCCAGGTGGAAACTTCATTGAGGTTAGAGAAATACTTTAATGACTCCTGAGAAGTTTGAAAGTAAGTTTACCTTATCTGTAGTACAAACTATGAAAGTTCTTTTTTTTTTTGCAACCTTAGCAGAAGTCCTAAATTTTGTTAATTATGAGTTTTTAACAAAACATATATCCATGCTTTTCTATTAAATATTTGAGATCTTACAGTTTTTTTTTTAAAGAGATTACATTCTATTGAGTTGTCAATATTATTGTGATATTGAGATTCTCTTAAGTGCAATCCTTGCCTCCTTTTACCGCAATGAAAACTGAAAATTTTCTTTGTTGCTGTTGAGTCACTAAGTTGTGTCGGACTCTTTTGCCACTCCGTGGACTGTCACCTGCTAGGTTTCTCTTTGCCCATAGGATTTTCCAGGCAAGAATTCTGGTGGGGGTTGCCATTTTCTTCTCTGGGGATCTTCCCGGCCCAGGAATTGAACCTGCGTCTTCTGCTTGGCAAGCTGATTCTTTACCATTGAGCGGTCTGGGAAACTTATTTCTTAGGGAGGGAAAATTACTGCTAATTTAGACATACGGGGCTATTTACCTTGGTAATGAACTTTTTTCCTGATAAAATTTTTTAAACTCCTTTAGAATATACATTCTTGAGGATTAGGATTCTTTCAAAAGTATTTTGATTTTCCAGCCTTTTTACAAGGCTTGCATGTAATGAGGCTTTGATAGTAACTGATCAAATATCAGTTGCTGAATATTTTTGTGTCTAATATGTTTATGGCTGGAGTGTTAGTGGAAAGGCAAAGCCATGAAAGATTTTTCTCAATTTGGTTGAATTATATTTGCTTTCAAGATTAGTACCAATTTACAGAGTGTAAAGCCTGTACAAATGAAATAACAGGGAGACAAGTACAAGATACATTATACATGCTTAACATTTTGGTACTGCATTAGTGTACTTTAAATCCTAAAAACTCATTCAGTTCCTTTTAAAAGAAAAATCTAAAGATTAGTTCCATATTTTTTTTTTTCTTTTCTTTTTTAGGATATTAGAAATGGCCACTCCCCAATCAGTTTTCATCTTTGCAATCTGCATTCTAATGATAACTGAATTAATTTTGGCTTCCAGAAGTTACTATGATATCTTAGGTGTGCCAAAGTCTGCCTCAGAGCGCCAAATCAAGAAGGCCTTTCACAAGTTGGCCATGAAATACCATCCTGATAAAAATAAAAGCCCTGATGCTGAAGCAAAATTCAGAGAGATTGCAGAAGGTATGTAAATGACTATCTCCAAGATCTCAAAGGTATTAAGTAGTAAAGGATAGTATGAAGAATAACTCTGAAATTGTTGCCCATATAATTCTTTTTAGTAATGGTAGCATTTGTTTAACATTTATTGTATAGATACTAGAGGCAGGTATTGTGCTTACTGCTGACAGCATACAGTGGATATGACAAAAAGTCTTCCTTTTGTGACTCTTTACTTTTATGCTTGTAGGCTTTGGTTTTATTTGTGCTGTGAAATCTGTAATGAAATAGATAAATTTAAAAGGTTTGGACATATATAATTTTGTTTCTCTTCAGTTACTAAAGTATTTTTATTTCTTTTCAGCATATGAAACTCTCTCAGATGCTAATAGGCGAAAAGAATATGATACACTTGGACATAATGCTTTTACTAATGGTAAAGGACAGAGAGCTAGTGGAAGTCCTTTTGAGCACTCATTTAACTTCAATTTTGATGACTTATTTAAGGACTTTGATTTTTTTGGTCAAAACCAAAATACTCGGTCGAAGAAGCATTTTGAAAATCACTTTCAGACACGCCAGGATGGTTCCAGTAGACAAAGGCACCATTTCCAGGAGTTTTCTTTTGGAGGTGGTTTGTTTGATGACATGTTTGAAGATATGGAGAAAATGTTTTCTTTTAGTGGTTTTGACACCACCAACAATCGACATACAGTACAGACTGAAAATAGATTCCATGGATCTAGCAAGCACTGTAGGACTGTCACTCAACGAAGAGGAAATATGGTTACTACATACACTGACTGTTCAGGACAGTAGTTGGTTCTTTTTCTGTTCTCATTAAACCCGATTAGTTGACTCCTCTTCAGTATCTTTGATGCAGAAAGAATTTTTTTGTGAACTATTTTGACAAGTGCATGATTTCACTTAATATAGATATTAAATATATTTAAATTGTTTTTGATAATTCAGCAACATTTAATTAGGAGACCAATAGCTAATTACTTTCCCTGATTAGACAAGGTTCTTTAAAAAAAGATATTATAATTCTGCCTGGTCTTTTTTTATCTACTTGTCCTTGGGCTTATTAACATGACCAGTTTCATTACCAAGGAAAGAATTGAGTTTGCCTGATGAATATTTAAAGGTTAAACTTTAAAAGTTATTCTAGATTTAAATTGTGTGAACATGGATGATTTTTTTGGAGTGAAACCTTTGCTAAATTAAAATTGCATGCTCTGTAGCATCTCTGACTTAGGTTGCAAAATGTATGTGAAACTGTATAATTCAGTTGTTCAGCAAAGGATGACAAAGCACTATCTTGTTCAATTTCCACTGAATGCTTGAGAAAAGTATGGTTTAATATTTACCACAAAACCATGCAGAAGAATTGGAGTAAAGGAAATGATTGTGTTGCTCAGTCTTTAAGACCAAAAGAAGGTTGAAAACTTAAGAAATATTGCCAAGAGATTGTTACCTGTTTGATCCCTGCCTAATGATTTTGTAGTGTTGAAGTCATAGCTGTTTTACACTTCTTTTCACATTTCTTTCTTAGTTGTTGGCCCTCTAGGTCTTAGTGTGGATTTATGTGTTTTTTTGTGTGTGTGGTTTTTCTTCTTTGCACTCATCTTTAGAGATTGACTAATACCTCATTCTGTTTATAAAAACAGCCAGTAATTTCTGTGCAACCTTATTATGTGCAATATTTTTAAATCCTAAGAAATGTGTGCTTTTGTTTTCAGATGGACTTATTTCTTCTGCACTTGTTCCATGTTGTACTCCATATGAGTACTAACCCTATGGATACATATTAAAACTAGTAAATATCTCATACAGCTTTGTGAGTGAGAGAAATATAATATTTACAATATGATCTCTGTTGTCATTTTATTCTTAAAAGTTTATTCTGCAGTTCTGAGGGTATATAAGCAATTGAGCTGCAATTGAGCTGCTAATACTGATCATAGACCGTATTCTAGAAGTTTGAAGATTTTGTTAATTTTGGTATATTTGCTTGCTAGGAGCAAGTATTCTTGCCACTGGTTCTTTCCTCTTCAGGCCTGGTTGGGAAAAAACAGACTGCATGAATCTATATTTGTTAGTAATCATCCTTAATTTAGAATCTGTGAAGAAAATGGATGTATTTATGTACCTTTATTATTTCCTAAAAGTTATACATACTACTTTCATTTGATGATAAGAAAATCACCTGCCTTGAATTTTGGTCTAAAAATTTTCTGTGGCCTATTAAACAGAACAAGTGAGGCAAAAAAAAAAAAAAGCGAAAGACTTCAGATCACAAACATGAAGGGTCATTTTACCTGGTTTTAAACATTTATTTGACGCCCCCCCCCCCCCCAAGCCTCCCATTTGGCTCTTCGGCATACTTTTTGCAAAAGGGAAAATGCACGNCCTCCCATTTGGCTCTTCGGCATACTTTTTGCAAAAGGGAAAATGCACGGTGAGTCATACACACTTAAGATACAAGCTAAATATAAAGAAAGATGCTTAGATGATCTATAGGTGTGTGTGTGTGAGTAATTAGCTGTGTAAGCAACTAGAAATTAGACCAGTAATCAGTTTCCTCCGTAATTTAGGATTTTTTTCTTTGTATAGGTTGAATGTGCAAAGAGAATGGTCAACTCCTGTAGTTATGCGATGACCAATATGATAGCTTAATCTATACTCCTTATATAAGTCAAAATCTGTCACTTTTTTTTCTTCTACATAAAGTAGTAACATCAAATGACTATGTTTTTCTTGAGCTAACTTGTGTAATTCTTCAAGTTTTGGGGATAGAGTATGTCTTGCATTGGGTACCGTAGTGCATGTGATAGGTTTGAAGTTCTTTTGGTGCTCTAAATTGGTAGGCAGTTTTCTGTTCTAAATTTCAGATCCAATTCTGAGATCAGTTCCTTGAAAATTTAGGTTGCCTAAGGTCAGCTAAGAATTTGTACTTTCATGAAGTAGTTATTTTAATTTTTCAAAATAAAAGCTCACTGGGGGGAAATGAGACCACTGTTGAACAGAATACAGAAATTTGTATCAGCAGTAGGTCTCTCAAGTTTATATTGTTCATGTTAATGCTGGCACCTTTAGTTCCCATGTGACATATTGAATAAAGTCAGTCATGGTTGTCTCCTGCCTTGGTTCCAATGACAAAATATAATGAAGCCATAGTTCAGGCGCTCAGTCATGTTCGACTCTGCGACCCCATGGACTGCAGCATGCCAGGCTTCCGTGTCCATCACCAACTCCCAGAGCTTGCTCAAATTCAGTGTCCATCGAGTTGTTGATGCCATCCAACCATCTCATCTTCTGTCGTCCCCTTCTTCTGCCTTCAATCTTTCCCAGCATCAGTGTCTTTTCCAATGAGTCAGTTCCTCGCATCAGGTGGCCAAAGTATTGAAGTTTCAGCATCAGTCCTTGCAATGAATATTCAGGACTGATTTCCTTTAGGATATACTGGTTGGATCTCCTTGCGGTCCAAGGGACTGTCAAGAGTCTTCCAGCACCACAGTTTAAAAGCATCAATTCTTTGGTGCTCAGCTTTCTTTATAGTCCCAACTTTCACATCCATACATGACTACTGGAAAGACCACAGCTTTGACTAGACGGACCTTTGTTGGCAAAGTAATGTCTCTACTTTTTAATATGCTGTCTAGGTTGGTCATAGCTTTTCTTCCCAAGAGTAAGTGTCTTTTAATTTGATGGCTGCAGTCACCATCTGCAGTGACGTTAGAGCTCCCCAAAATAAAGTCGCTTATTTTCATTCTTTCTCCACTTCCCATGAGGTGATGGGACCGAATGCCATGAACTTAGTTTTCTAAATGTTGAGCTTAAAGCCAACTTTTTCACTCTCTCATTTTCATCAAGAGGCTGTTTAGTTCTTCGCTTTCTGCCATAAGAGTGGTGTCATTTGCATATCTGAGGTTACTGATATTTCTCCCAGCAATTGTCCAGCTTGTGTTTCATCCAGTCTGGCATTTCACATGATGTACTCTATATAAGGTAAGTAAGCAGGTAACAATATACAGCCTTGAGTACTCCTTTCCTGATTTGGAACCAGTATGTTGTTCCATGTCCAGTTGTAACTGTTAACTTCTTGACCTGCATACATGTTTCTCAGGAGGCATGTGAGATGGTCTGGTTTTCCCATCTCTCAGAATTTTCCAGTTTATTGTGATCTACACAGTCAAAGGCTTTGGCGTAGTCAATAAAGCAGACATAGGTGTTTTTCTGGAACTTCCTTGCTTTTTCAAGGATCCAACGGATGTTAGCAATTTGATTTCTGGTTCCTCTGCCTTTTCCAAATCCAGCTTGAATATTGAAGTTCACAGTTCACGTACTGTTGAATCCTGGCTTGGGGAATTTTGAGCATTACTTTGCTAGCGTGTGAGATGAGTGCAATTGTGCAGTAGTTTGAACATTCTTTGGCATTGCCCTTCTTTGAAGTTGGAATGAAAACTGATCTTTTCCAGTCCTGTGGCCTCTGCTGAGTTTTCCAAATTTGCTGGCATAGTGAGTGCAGCACTTTCACAGCATCATCTTTCAGGATTTGAAATAGCTCAACTGGAATTCCATCACCTCCACTAGCTTTTTTCTTAGTGATCCTTCCTAAGGCCCACTTGACTTTGCACTCCAGGATGTCTGGCTCTAGGTCAGTGATCACACCATCGTGGTTATCTGGGTCGGTTCATGAAGATCTATTTTGTACAGTTCTTCTGTGTATTCTTGCAACCTCCTCTTTATATCTTCTGCTTCTGTTAGGTCCATACCATTTCTGTCCTTTATTGAGCCCATCTTTGCATGAAATGTTCCCTTGGTATCTCTAATTTTCTTGAAGAGAACTCTAGACTTTCCCATTCTATTGTTTTTCTCTATTTCTTTGCACTGATTACTGAGGAAGGCTTTCTTATCTCCTGGCTATTCTTTGGAAGTCTGCTTTCGAATGGGTATATGTTTCATTTTCTCCTTTGCCTTTAGCTTCTCTTCTCAGCTATTTGTAAGGTCTCCTCAGACAACCATTTTGCCTTATGCATTTTTTTCTTGAGGATGGTCACTGCCTCCTGTATAATGTCACAAACCTCAGTCCATAGTTCTTCAGGCACTTTAAGATCTAATCTAAACAAAGCCATGAACATGCTTATAACATAAAAGAACATCCAAGAGTTTTGAGGCATGATATAAAAGAAAGCAAACAGGTTAAATTGAGAGAGAGGTAAATCCAAGAACCATAGTTAAGGTATCCTGGAGAAGCTTTTAAGTCTCAAGACTTTTAGTGAAGAAATGGGCCAGAGCTCAATTATGTTAATTCATTGAAGAGCTGCATTGGGGACCCTTGCCCTTTTTCATTCAGGTAAACTGTCGACAGCCTTTCCTTAAGGTCAGAGACTCAGTGTAGTCTTCAAAGAAAAAGATTATTTCTGGGCAGGCTCCACAGTTGTGGGCATTGAGATGACATGATAGGTTGAACAGAGGTAAATTTTCACTTGGTGGTGGAGAGGGTGGTGTTGAGTAATACTAACACTCCACTCCCAGAGTAAATAAAACCATATTTTGACGTGTAGGGAGCAATAATTTCTGCATCCTGATTAAATACTTAACTGCAGTTGCCTGCAGGTTGAAATGCCCTGACAACTTACAAGAAATGATAACTCCTATTGAAAATGGAGCTGTAATGCAGGCACATGTTACTGCTGAAGAAACTGATTTTCTCATCTATCTGTGCAAATTGAATTCCTTCATAAACACATACATATGCTCAAGGAATTCAGACATTTAAGGAAAACCAATGGTAGGGAATAGAAGCCTGGACATCCAACCCTGTATTTACTGGTTGTCTATGTAGGCCTCATTGAGAAGGTGAATTTGCAGACTTGAGTTATGTGTATGAAAGATGGAAACGTGTAACAAGTTCTAGGAAAAGTGGAGAATCCAATATAGCTGGAGGTCACAGATAAGGCAGAGTAGTTGGAGATGAGTCTGTAAAGATAGTGAGGTAGGTGGGCAGGACAGATCCTGGAGGGCTTTGTCATCTTTTGTAAAGATTTGGCATTGGGATGTGATGGCTGAGTTTTGAGCAAATAAATGAATATCTTTCATAGATTTTAGAAGGATCATACTGGCTGCTGTGTTGATAGTAGACTATAGAGGGGCAATGGTGGAATAGAGAGACTAGACTATTTCCATATTCCTGGATGAGAAATTAATGCAGCTCACACACTGCACCAGTGGGAATTGTTGGAAGTGGTTGCCAGTAGGATTTGCTTAACAATTGGATACAGGCATGAAAGAGGATAAAAAGATTATTCCAAGCTTAGTGTTTAGAGAACCAGAAGGACAGTTGTTAACTTAAGATGGGGAAAGCTGCAAGAAGACATTTAAGGGGAAAGATGGGAAGTTCAGTTGGATATACCAATTTTGAAATAATGTATATACAGGGTTAGAGATAGGCCTAGAACTTGGAGAGAGCTGAGCTGAAGGTGCGTATTTCTGAATTGTCAAAATATAGGGAATATTTTAAACCATGAATCTAAATTAAACCACCAAGGGAATATTTATAGATATAAAATGAAACAATCCATGAACTGAGCCCTCAGGTGCTCTAAAATTAAAGGCAAACAGCCCCTCTCCTCCCCCCCAAAAAAGCATGAGGAGAAAATGAGGAATACACAAAGATATCTCAGAAGAGGCAGCCAAAGTTGACCAAGAAGTAGAAAATGGGGCTTTCCTAGTAGCTCAGCTGAGAAGGCAATGGCACCCCACTCCAGTACTCTTGCCTGGAAACTTCCATGGATGGAGGAGCCTGGTAGGCTGCAGTCCATGGGGTTGCGAAGAGTCGGACACGACTGAACGACTTCACTTTCACTT